TAGGCAGGAAAGTCAACAGCAAACACATTGTGATGAAGCAGGCAAGGAAGAGACAAGATAAAAGGAATCACTATTAACAAATTCCCCAAACCAAATCCACACTGTAGTATCCACACATAAAGATGCTCTCACCGAGAACAGAAACAACGCGGTGCTATCCTAGGAAGACAATTACTTTTTTCTACATATGATTTTATAAGCCAAAGCTTTAGTTTCTAAAGATCTTCCAAAATATTCCTATTGCATCCTCAAATACAGAGACTGCCTCATTTCCTGCAAATTGTTTTTCTAATTCTGTTCAAAAATATCAACTTCATTAAGACTTTAAAGATTTAATCCTGAGTTATGGCTTGATGAGATCTCTGTGGGATGAAAGAAATCAAGAGATCACAGTACCTGCTATTTTAAAATGTTCTAACAATGGAAACTTAATTTGTTGATGAGAATGCATTGTTTTAGAGAAAATAGGATTAAAAAAAGACATACAAAATATCAGTTTAAACCTTCCGGTGGGTTTCTGAAGAGAAAATCTTCTCTTTTTTTAAAATTTTTTTTTAGCAGACATCAAGCCAAAAATCATTTAATTAGGCTGATTTTGTAGTTGAGACAGGAGTCAAACTTTTAAAAAAGAAAATGCAATAAAAGTACTTGCTGTAAATGTAAAATATCCTGTCATATGAAACTATTCTTGATCTATATATTGACCAAAAGTATTTCAATTTATAAAAATCTAATTTATGTTCCACAGATCCCATGATTAAGCACTATTTCCCCTTTCTAATCAATTTTCTTGTTGAAGTTTCTATTTTCTGTAATGTTTTCTTCATCTGTGTAAAAGGATGTATTTGATAGTAAAATGTTGAATGAGTGTGCTATTAAATTCTATGCATCTACCAAAACAAGTCGGAAGGATACTGAAATATTTTGAATAAACACAATTTTTCGAATAGCAGAAATAAGGACTCAAAAATAAGACAAATGAAAGGCAACAAAATTTAGTGAAAATGATAACCACTTACTTGATTCATTTTATCCACTCAGTGAAAATATACAATGTCATTTTCAAACGGGAGGGGATTATAACAACAAATACTTAAGACATGAAAAATACCTAATGTTTTCTAGATGAGGAATTTTTCCTGATTGCTGACTTTTTTAATGCTCTGGTTTAAGGGAAGGAGTTAAATGAAATAAAAAAATAATAAAATTTAAAAATCACTTCAAATACGTAGATTAAGGCTTTTCTCCTTACTCTATACCTTCCAGAGGGCTCTCATTTGAAAACTTAGAGAGTGATATAGATGACCTCCAAGATTCATTGCCTCTCCAGCGTTCAGAAAGTCAACAAACATTTTCCCCTTCTTGATTGTAAATGCTATCCATGACCTGCAGTAACTTTTGAGTCAAAACATAAATGTTTTGGGAGTCTACCATCTGTCCAGGTGTTTCTACTCAAAAGTAGAACAAATGTTATAAATGAATAAGCTATGTAATTCCCATGGATGTACTAAAGCCTCAATGTACCAAATCGTCACCTAAGCAAAAATTTTAGGAGGCCTGGCTCATATAGGTATTTGACTCATAAATAATGACTTAAATAATAACATAAGAGTGCTCCTTTCCTAGTTAAAAGGTACACAAACAGAGATATTCTAAAGGCTTTTTTATGGTTCAATGACCTCAGTCAACTTGCCAGTTCAAGGTCTACAACATCTCATTTCCTAAGAGCCACAATACATACAGTGCTTAAAGGGCTAAGTATTCCTGTGCTGTCTATATGTGTTCACTAATGGATTCATTGTATAATGCATGTTAACTCCTGTATTCTGCACTCTTCATGTACTAATTACAAAATGACAAGAATAATAATAAAGAAAAACAGCAGCAGCAAGCCCTAATGGTAAAAATAAAGGCAAAATCTACACAACTATTTCCCCTTTAATAGAGAACACCTAGTTTTTGTTATACTGCTTCTCTCAGTGTTGTGTTGTGAACAGCATGGGCAAGAAAAATCAACTGGATCTAGTTCCAGTCTCAATGTTGCCACAATCTAGCTACGTAACGTTTCATAGACCACCAACGTGCTCTGATGCTAGGATTTTCATCTAAGTAAGGATTGTGTTGTACAACCCCAGGACAAGCCATCACATTGTGCTCCCGGGATGGCATTATTAAGCATCTGATGTGCACTATGGCCCTGGAATTGGATGATGTGAGGTCCTGTTCTGTTACTTCTCGTTTTAATTGGCAATATCATGATTTTAAAATCTGAAAACTCTGCCATATAATTTCAGTATTCCCGCTGTGTTTATAAAGTTTCAACCTTATACATATCAGAATCTGGTGAACTACGACAAGAAAGTGAGAGACACACAATATGTCAGCCCTGAAATCAGAAATACAAATGTGGCCTTTCTCATCCAAGATTGGACTTACTTTCACTGTCTCAGCCTCATTCCCTTGGAACATCTGGTCAATGAAACCTGTGTCTCAATAACAGAAGTTCAGAGTGGGAATTCTTTATCAGGACAAGATATTCCATTTCACCTCTTGATTACCATTTGTGACTCGGTTTATAGTTCATAAGGATATGACTTAGAAGGGCAAGTGATTTGAAGAATAACTCAAATATTAAGTGAAGGTAACATCAAATGCTTATAAAACAGACTCCCTCAAATAGCTTTTTTTCTTGGTGTTTAGCAACTTCCTCCCAATCCAGTAAAAGAATCTCCCTGGAATTGAGATGTGGAAGGTGCTATCTCTCTATAAATAGGCTCATCCCATGCTATGTGAATCATGGTTGCTGACAGCAAATCAACAGACTAATTATTTGGCTTTGTTAGTAACGATAATAGCACGCTATCATCTTTCCAAATCTTTTTCCGCACCCCACACTCCATTCTTCTAAGCTAAGCTGCAGACTAAACTGAAGTCCATGGTGTACAGACACATGCATGTGGGCCTTGCACTGGGCATGTCTAAACAGGATCTGTCATCTCTCTGCCAGATTATTACCGTGAGACTTTAGCTAAAGGAAGTCACCAGCCAGGATCCTCTCTGCCAAGATTTGCACTAAGTAAATGAAAAACAGAAGCAGATTAAATAAACACTGAAGAAAACAATAAACTCAGCAATTCCCTCAAATTCTATTTTCTAATGAGATGCCAAGGAAAGGGCCACAGGAAGCAATTTCCCCACGTAAAAATTCAGCCATGCAAGTTGTTCATCTCCAAATCAACTTCCACAAGGATCAGGTGAGTTTAGCTTATCCATTCACAAATATCATCCACCCATCACATTTACTGCCTTGTTTAGAATTGACGAGGCTGAGTAGAATCTATTCACAAGCATCATTTATTTATCCCAACTAGAGTACGAGAATGTATTTCAAAGACGGAACTGTAAGAGTCACACTGAATTCAGAGCCTTGAAGTTCCTTGTAGACCACATAAGCCCTCAGAGAAGACGACCCCCAAATGATCCTTGCACGACAATACAAATGATTTTATTTTCCCCTAATATGAATTATATACTCTATAAATATAGAACTCTGTTTTCATATAAATCTTCAGTTTATGAAACCAACAGTCTATATTAACTGTATGTAAAACAACAGATTTTAGTACTTCTCGCCTTGGGATCATAACCTTTTTGTTTACTCCTGAAATTTACTATTTAATCAATATCACAGGATAAGAAAATGAGTTCACCGTGGAGTGAATCATGCCATGCAAATCTATGGGAGAAATGGAAATGAGATGGCTTCCTCACAAGACTTAATCCTGAATTTCTAAACTAATTCCGAGCCCCGCTGTCCAGACTTTCCAAATGTTTTCCTCATCCCCCATGACCCTAGCCCACGTGCTTCATTTCTGGAACCCAGGAGAACATCACCTTCAGAGTTGCAAAGATGCTACCCTGAACCAGTCAACTGATCACAGAGCAAGCTTTCTTTCCAGAATGCAATCAATTCCTTTCAGTTGTCTACACTAAGAGGAGAGTATCTGCGGCTTGCAAATGACAGGGCAGGCCACACCCTGAGGATCTACAAAGTCTGGTGTAAGCACAGATCTGGGCAATTCGGCATGAATTCTCTCAAGCCGGCCTGGTTTAAGCTGGGAGTAAGCACTCTGAAAATCAAGGTCTCCAATTTCCCTTTGATTATAAAGATCCATCAAAGACCAACAACCATTTGAGTTTAGGGACAAAGGGAATCAACTTCAGAAAGGCCTTAACAAGAAAAATCTCTAAGAAGTCTAAAGTTTTCTTCACATTACCTTGGGCCAGACTGCAGATACTATGTTATTTCCTTAATGTCCCAAAAGAAAGTGTGAGTGTGCAAAGGGTGGGGGCAATGAGGCAGGAAAGTTAATGAGCAGAACCCTGGGAAGCTAGGAGAATAAGAGAAAGGTCTGTGTAGAAGGAAGTGGAAGGGTATGTGGGAAAGTGGGGAGGTGAGAACCGATCGGAATGTCTGATGGATGCAAAATCGTGTGCTGCTGGAGGAAGAGTTAGAAAAAGAATACATTTAAGTTCACCTGCTGTCTAAGTGTCTGTGTCCAGAACTATGGTAAATGTTATGGGAGGCATAGGGAAGAAGGTTTATGTATCTTTAGGTTCTCAGCAGGCAGTGTCGGCGCTGGATATGCGGATGGATGGATGAGAGAGAGAAAGAGAGAGAGAATATGGATGAATGAGATGGTAACTGCCCTCGGGGATTCGACGGGGGACCAGGAACATCTATACATGTAGCTTTCCTCCTAGTCAACCCGTGGATTCTTCAAGATATAAAGTGTTTTCCAGAATATGGGACAAGAAGCTATTAACTGACAGACGGTGATGGAAAGAGAGACGTCTGGAAATTAGGGGCGCGGTGGGGGGGGGAGGCCAGAATGGCACAGGAGGATCCTGGCTCCCTTCCGTGGGTGCCCCCAGGTGCTCTGCCTAGGGGGGAGTGGGGTGTCAGCTCTGGGGAGCCCACTGCTTGGGCATCTACTGACCTGGTCTCCGCCTCACGGGCCTCTTGCGGCCGCTGCAGAAGCGCACTTTGCTGAATACCCCGAGGACGTGCCTTTCGCACAGGGAGCGCCCGTCTTTGCTGGGGCTGGAGCGGCGCTTGGAGGCCGACACCCGGTCGCTGTTGGACTCCCTCGCCTGTCGCTTCTGCCGGATCAAGGAGCTGGCTATCGCCGCAGCCATAGCTGCTCAGCGCGGGCCCCAGGTCCCGGGCTCCACTGCGCCCCCGGGATCGCGCTCCCCCCGGGCGAGGGCAGGACCTCGGCGGGCGGCCTGGGGGACAGGGCAGGCGCGGGGAGGCAGTGCTAATACTTGAGGAGGCTGCAGTACCGAAAACCCGACGCCCACAAGGTTAGTCAGAGTCTGGGCAGTGGCGACAAAATGTGTGAAAATCCAGATGTAAACTTCCCCGACCGCTGGCAGCGGGGGCGGGGCGGTCCCAGGCCTTCCAGGTCACTAGACTCTCGCACCCCAAACTTGCACCCCGAGGCGATCGGCGTCCGCGGGGCGGCGGGGAGTTTGGTGACACTGCGTTCAGAGTACCAGATGGAAGGGGAGGAAGGATGTCCAAAACAACAAGCCGTGGCCCCGTCGGAGAGGCGCAAGCGTTGCAAGGTGTCCAAAGTATATCTACACATCCATACATATAAAACCCGGTTACAAAGCAGAGTCTGGACCGAGGCGGGCAGCGTGCCCCCGGTAGAAAATACTAAAAAGTGAATAAAACGTTCCTTTAGAAAACGAGCCACCAACCGCCAGAGAGAAGGAGAGGAAGGCAGCAATTTAACTCCCTGCGGCCCGCAGGTCTGGAGGCTAGGAGGTCCGTCCCGGCGGGGTGAGGTCTACGGAATGCATCGCGCCGGCCGCGGGAGTTCTGGATTCCGAGAGCGCCAAGTGCGAGCCCGGGAGCCCGAGTCGGGGTAGGGGCGCGGGGCGGGGACAGCTGTTTCCAGCTGCGGCGCGCGCGCCTCCCGGCCAGCAGCGCTGCGAAGAGAGCGGGAGGCGAGGGAGGGGGAGGGCGGGAGGGGACGGGGAAAGAGGGAGGGACGGAGGGAGGGAGATCCCCGGGGGCCAAGCACCCCTCGGGGAGGAGGAACCCGCGGGAGGCGAGCGCCGGGATGGCTGCGCGGGGTCCCGAGAGCGGGCGCTCTCGCTCTTTCTGCTCGCTTTCTGGCACAAGACGGGCACAGTTGGTGATTATTTAGGGAATCCTAAATCTGGAATGACTCAGTAGTTTAAATAAGCCCCCTCAAAAGGCAGCGATGCCGAAGGTGTCCTCTCCAGCTCGGCGCCCACACGCCTTAAGTGGAGCTCCCCGCCATGGCCCGCCCGGGGCCGCCGCACCGAGCCGGTGTCCGCACAGGCTCCGAGGGAGCGAGGGAGGCGGGAGGGAGGGGGCGCCCTGGCGGGCTCGGGATCAGGTCATCGCCGCGGCGCCCGGGCCCCCCAGGCTCGCGCGGCCCGGCAGTCCGCAGCTCGCAGGCAGCAGGTCGGATGGGGATCACCCGCCGGACGCTCCCGCGCAGCCCATCCCGGCCGAGGGAGGAAGTGACCGGCGCGCTGCGAACCCCCGCGCGTCGGCTCGGGCGGGGCGGGGGCTGGCTGCGGGCGACGTCGCCTCCAGGCGGCTGCGGCTCCCGGCCGGAGCTGCCCACCGCGGTCTGGCGCCAGGAGCGCAGGCGGGGGCCCCTAGGCCGCCCGGGGCGACGGCGGGAGGCGGGCGAGCGCGCCCCCCGGGGCCGGACGCAGACTCGGGGGCCGGGGCCAGGGAGCGGGTGCGGGCGGCCGCCAACTCGCCCAACTTGCCGCGCGCCGCGGGCTAGTGGGGCGCCCCCCGGCCGCCGCGCCGCCGCCTCCTCGGGCCCCCGAGGGGGCGCTCGGGGCGGAGTCCCATTCGCGGGCTGAGGCTTGGGGCGCGCCGAGCCTCGCCGCCTCCCCGGCGCCGCCGCTGCCGCCGCCCAGCCGGTTCGCTCTGCTGGAGCGCTGGCTCCGCAGGACAACTCCAGGCGGGGCCACGGCCACGGCCACGGCCACGGAGGGTGGGACGACGCAAGGGCGGCCGCTGGAGTACCTCGGGCACTGCTCGCCCACCCGCCGGGGGGCTCGCGGACGCCCCGGTGGGGCCGGGGGGGGGGGGGGGGGGGGCGGGCTCTCGGAGCGCCGGGAAGCGCGGCGCGCTCGGGTCCTCCTCCCCTCCCTGGGCTCCGAGACTCGCTTCTCCTCCCTCCCTCCCGTCACCCCTCTCCCCCTTCTCCGTCTTCCGTCTCTCCCCTTTTCTCGTCTCTACGCAATCCTACGTGATTGAGGTTTGGATGAGAAATTCTCAGAGGCAGAGTGAAGGAACTGCAGCTCCGGTCTGGTCGGTCCCATCCCTCCCCCAAGAGAAAACACAGCCACCGACCGGTTAAAGGACCCTGAGTCCACAAAGAAGGGGTTAGGGGAGGAGGGGCTGAGGGAAAGCAGTGCACCCCCTCTTCCATAAACTGCAGCACGTAGAATAATTCTCTGTTTAGGAGGGAAGGCGGTGGACACGAGATAAAGTAACAATGGCCTTTTGGGCCCTCATGTTGGGCCCCACCTAAAGCTCATTTTGGAACAAAGTGCTTCTGCATCCTTGAAACCCAGTTTTCTTGGTTCTATCCAGAAAGCTGCAAAGAAGCTCGCATCCTTAAAAAAAAAAAAAAGAAAAAAAAATGAGGGATCCAGTGAGCACCCAGCACAGCGAGAAGACAGTTGTGGACAAAGGGAGTCAAAAACCAGCTCTGGAGTGCAGTCAGGTCTCCAGGATGCTTGTGAGCACAGATAGATGTTAACAGAAAACTCAGCAGAGAAGGTCTTGTCAACCAAGATGAAATACAGCATGAGAGATTTTGGAAACGTAAGGGAGTAACCACCTTCCATTCCCGCTAAGGTCTGGAGGTGGCTATTAGTTTTACTTTCAATCTCTCTTCAACTCATCTTCAAATATCCCTAACCCTTCCCCTTCAGTCTGTCCACTACGCATTGAGGGTCGTGCCAGAGGATTAAATGGATGCTTTCCAACAGAAACAAGTGCATCTTCGAAACACCCGAACAGAGGGTGAGGAACATGCAGGCCCTGGAAGCTACTAAAAATGGATATGGCACCCAGAGGACGGGTCCCAAGAACTCACATCCCAAGATGTGGGCACAAACCTCGCAGAAATTTGCTTGGGCCATGAGAAGGGTTGAGGCCTCTGAGGCCGTTTAGACTGAGCACTGTGTCAAACAACCGTGCTGTATCTGGGGGCATGGATATTCTGTGCTGCTTCTGGAAATAACACAGGCAGACCGGGGCTTATGGGGAAGATGGCTAGGAGGAGGATCAAATCGACAAGGCCCCCCCTCGAGAATCCCAGTTGTCAATGGGCGAACACAATCCCCTATAGCAGCTCAATAAGATTGAATAAGGACAGTGAACTTGGGGTTCTAACAATACAGAACAAGACAGGGGAAAAAGATACACACACACACACACACACACACACACACACACACACACCCCTAATCTCCCAAAGTGAACTCAATACATTTTAAAAAATGGATAGGACAAAGGAAATTACTTAACATCAGTTGGTAGCACCAATTAAGGAAATGTTTGCAATTCACAGATAAAATCATTTTCCTCCCTTGGCTACCAGAAGATTTGTCTCATCCTTGAGGAAGGCAGGCACAGATAGTACTGGCTGTTTGGGGGCTCCTTGCCTTCTGCGGTTCAACACCCAAAAAGGAAAAGGTCAGCTAAGGTGAGGACTACAGCGAGATGGGCAAGAGAGGGGTGTGTAGTGAGTCCCTGAGGAAATCATAGCTAAACCTGGAGTTTCTTATCCTCAAAATGGGAATAATCATTCCCATCTACCTCACAGAACTGAATATGTATGCGTAAGCATTTTGAAAACTGGAAAATGCCAAATGAGTGAAAGAGATGATGACTGTTTATTTTTTTTTTTTTTAAAGAAAATGCATGATATTCTTCTGAGATGCTTTTTAAAAATGCAGATCCCGGATGGTTTCTCAGAACATGAAGCAGACATCTCTGAGTAGAGACCAGGAATTTGAGTTTTTAACAACTTTTTCATGTGCCAAAGTTTGAGAGTTTTATTCACACACACACACACAATGTAGGTAATACTAGAAGGAAGAAATCTACTCAAGCCTCCAAATCTAGCACTTTCTCTAGAATCGCAGTCCTCCATTAGCCCCCCCCACCCCCACCCAAAAGCCGGGGATGAGGATTTGTGTTCTTTAATCATTGAGCGTGTTGGGTTTTTACCCTCCTGTAGGTTTATGTGAAGTGAAGATACTTTGACGCAGAAGGTAACCAATGTCGTGGTACCGGACAGAAGAGGGTGATGGACAGGAGATGTGCAAGCAGACGACACTTGTTTGGAGTTCTCCTCTCTGTCCTGACATCCCAGCATCAAGCCAGGCATTTAAGGAACAAAATAAAAACAACACATGTGGGCTTTCTGAGAGGGACACTATTCCTGTCTTTAGATCTCTATTAAAAGAATGTGGTGTTTTCGAGTCCATTAAACAACAAAGACCCCACTTTTCTTCTTGCATTTCTGCAGCTGTTGTCAGAGTGTGTTTTAGCTGCTTAGCCCTGTATGTCATGCTGAACATTGTCTACTTTATTTACTCCATTTCCTCAATGAGAAAAAGATACAGTCCAGGGGCTTTTGAGAAGATATATCTAGGACCTATGCACACAGCTATTTGGCCTGGAAGCAATACTTAAGTGAGTTTTTTGATATCTAGAAATTCAGAACTTTCCTACCTGGGCCACAAAATGTCAGAAACCTTCCTCCATGGAAGGAAGTATTTGGGCGGCAGGAATGAGATTTAATCAGCCCACTGATGATTTCAGTGAAACAATCGGGTTTTTTAGAGGGCGATATCTCAGAAATAACAATGCCTTGACTTTATGCTATCTTTCTTTGGACAAGTGGAGAATTTTCCTTTACAATTCTGAAGACATTAGGTGGAAGAAGTTTTAATTACTTTGGAGAAAGTTGCCAGATACACATTGAAAGAATAGTTATGGAGTTGTCTGTATGCTTCTGACCTCCACTCAAGCAAAGAAAGCATGGACAGTCTTACTCATCTCCATGTTTTAAAAGGAAAAAACACAGAGTGTTAAAAAAAACCTTTCTCTTATAAATAAGCAAAGCCTTCTAACTCCCACATCAAACTATTACGACCATCATAGTCATTCACTTGAAACCTTTAACTGAGCACAGAGTACATCCAAGGCTCTGTTTCGGTTACCAAGGAGAACTCTGTACGCCTCTACATTCTCCCTGCCCTCAACAAGCTTGCAGTACATGTGAGCATAATCTTATTTGACTCTTAATCACCTATTAGCTGGATGCTACTCGACCAGTTATTCAATCTCTCTCAACCACATCTGCAAAACTGGTCAGGGATTATGACACTAGCAATTATCTATTTAACTGGGCCGCCACAAGGCTCAAAGATGTGATCATAATGCAAAGTATTAGAATGAGCATGCTGTCATTAAAATATCCATTTAAATCAAGTCCCTTCTATAAAACCCAGACTTCCCAAAACAAGAAAACATACCTTGTGATTCATACACATCATCATTCACTCCTGGACATAATGTATTTAACAAAGGCTGGATCTACTTGAAATGAATGATTAACCTTGACATTGTAATGGCAAACAAAATTTTCATTAGTGGAATATTGTCAATGTCCTTGTCTGTTAGGAACACAATGGAATGTAGCTCTGCTCATACATCATTCTGCTCTGAGATCAGGCCCCTGACTCCAAGT